GCATTTCGCATTTCGCATTTCGCATTTCGCCTTTTGCCGCGTGTTGAAAGCAGTGCGTCCAACCATTGCTCGCACAGCGGCTCGGCTCGGTCTGCACTGTAAATCCTCGCTGCCCAACACAGCTTGCTTCCACTTGCGGGGCAGCCGCTGCTGCCATCAACGCTGCCCATGCTGCCCTCGCTCTGCACACCCCACAGCGCCATTGCAGTGCATTGCATTGTTTGCCTCTGGCCCACAGCGAGCCCCTGCGTGTTGACTGCATGATGAATGGGCAAGCCACCGCACGGATCGAAGTTCGTGGATGCGGCGGCCCAGGCACCTCGTCCATTTCACAGAGCCGCAGGTGTGAAAGCGGGGCAAAGCAGCATGTCTCGCTTGCGCCCACAATGCACGACTCCACTCGGCTTGGTCATGCTGACACGCGTCGCCCCGCCTCCTTGTCTTTTGATCTCGGCCTAACAAATACAAACAAATTTCGACCGGCATTCTTCCGCCGCCCGGACACGTCACTTGCAGCTGCGGTTTTGCATTTTTGCATGTTGGGAGGTGGAGTGGCTGAGCCAAAGCCAAAGCCGATATGCAAGCGGCATAGTTTGGCATTCGGGCCTCCAACCAACACCCTCACACACAAGGCCACGTCGACCATGCATGCGCCTGCCCACCACCAACACCCCTAGCTCCCGCCCGCTCAGATATAAGCTCGACGCTCGTACGGCGAATCCTCCCCGCGTCTCGACGACGCACGACACCATGGCCATCCAGCAGCCCGCCTCGTCGCGCGCACCGACCCGCATGAGGGCGTTCACGGCGCGCACCTTTTCGTCGCTCCTTGTCCTCGTCACGCTCGCTGCGCTCATGCTGCTCGCCGCAGCCACCACGGCTTCGCAAGCATCGTCACGGCCGGCCCTCTTCCGCTCGCCCGCGTCGGACAACTCGCGCGGCGCCGACTTTCTGCAGCAGGTGCTCACCAAACCCAAGCGCGCACCCACCACCGCAGCAGCAGCGTCCGACTCCATCTGCCGCCCTACGGGCCAGATCGAAGACGCGGCGTGCGACTACGAGACGGTCGAGACGATCAACTCGCAGTTCTTCGACCGCCTCGATGCGCTCCGCCGCACCGACTTTTTCAAGTTCTACAAGGTGAACCTCTTCAAGGAGTGTCCCTTTTGGAACGAGAACGGCTTCTGCATGAACCGCGCCTGCAGCGTCGAGACCGAGGACGAGGCCGACATCCCCGAGGAGTTCCGCGTGAAGCGCCTCAGCTCCGTCACCACCGCCGCGCCCGGCGACGTCGCCATGTCCGGTTCGGACTCGAGCTGCTCCTGCTCCTCCACCGAGTTCTGCCACCTCGACGACGACGCCACCAACGACGGCGTCTACGTCGACCTGCTCAAGAACCCGGAACGCTTCACCGGCTATGCAGGCGCCAGCGCCAACCGCGTGTGGAAGTCCATCTACGAGGAAAACTGCTTCAACGGCGTCAAGTTCATCGAACCCGCACGCCCCACCGCGTCCGGCGGCACGGGTTTCGTTGACAAGTCCATGCTGCACCACAGCTCCTCGCCCGCCTTGGGTCCAAACGGCGGCTTTGGAGGACTGGTTTCCTCGCTCCAGGCTCCGCTTGACAGCGGCGATAGCGAACAGTGTCTGGAGAAGCGTGTGTTTTACCGCATCATCTCTGGGCTGCATGCCAGCATCTCGATCCACATCTGCCACGACTTTTTGGACACGAGCACGGGCGAATGGGCTCCCAATCTGGAATGCTTCATCACGCGCATTGCCGAGCATCCGGAACGCCTGCAGAACGTCTATTTCGACTACGTGCTGCTGCTCCGTGCGCTCTCGCGCCTCGGCGATTCGCGGGACAACTTTTCGCTGCGTGCCGGCGATGCGATCGAGGATGGCGCGGCGGTGGAGCAGCTGGACGGCCTCATCGCCGACGCACGCGCGTGTCCCACCACCTTCGACGAGGCGCAGATGTTCAGCGGCCAGACGCGCGAGTCGCTCGAGCTCAAGAACGAGTTCCGGCACCACTTTCGCAACATCTCGGCCATCATGGACTGCGTCGGATGCGACAAGTGCAGGCTGTGGGGCAAGCTGCAGGTGCACGGCATCGGCACCGCGCTCAAGCTGCTCTTCAACTCGAACGACGAGCATGGAGCACAGCCGGTGCAGCTCCAAAAGTCGGAGCTCGTGGCGCTCGTCAATGCCGCCCATCGCATCGCAGAGAGTCTACGTGCGGTAGAGAGGTTCAGGGACATGTATCAGGCGCAGCGTCTTGCCGGAGATGCAGGCGATGTAGCGGTGAACGCACCCGCCAATACCTCGCATCCCGTCCGCAGTACGCAGCATCAAGAGGCGACGACGGGTAAGCTGGCCCAGTTGGCCCAGCTAGTCGAGTGGCTCGAACGACAGCTGCATCAGACTGTGCAGGCGTGTCGCCGCGAACTGTCTTACTGCCTACGCGCGCTCGGATTCGCCGCACCCTCGTCACCGTCCCAACACCCCAAGCATGCAGATTTGTAGCATGGCTTGTTCGGCATCAACACTCCGCGTTTGCATCTTGTACTTTTACACACACACACACACACAC